GCCTGAGGGCATGCCTCCAGGCATGCCCAGGGGGCATGCCCAAAAGGCATGCCTCGTGCCCTGTGCCCCCATCCCTACTGTGTGTTAACAAATTTTGAATTTTAATTGGTTGTTTATAATGTAGATCGATTTTAATTTTTAATTGGTTGATCGTAAAGTAAACAACAACGTACGTTCTTTTTGACAATTGTGGCAAAGAAGGCAACAATTATCCAAATAGATTTGAATAAAGAGTGAGTCGATCTCTTGTAGCATAAAAAAGTGGATCAATAGCAGAATTCACAAGGGTAAATTGCCTTTAACCCTATAGAGATGGCTTTTAGTACGTACATACCATTAAAGACTGGTCATCGTGATTTTTCAACTCTAAATTAAGATGTCGCATGACACTATTGAATCAGTAATATACTCCAAGAAAACAAAATGGAGTTTAAAAAGTCCAAGCCAAGCCATCCAAAAGTAGGCTTGGAAAAAGAAAAGCAGTTCTCCAACAGATTTTTTAGAAACAGGTGGAGCGTTAAAATCAGGTACACTAAAAACACGATCCAACAGCTCCAACAACTTCAACAACTCCATGTTGTGAGTTTTCAAAATATATATGAACAAGCTTGGATTCAATTAATATCAGCGGAAATAGAGCCTCCAAGGGTCGTAAGGTACCTAAAGAGAGCATTTATGTTTTTGAACTATATTAAAGATCATACTGCACGAACACAAGTAAATAATGAACAGGAATTACACGAGAGAACTTGAGACGTCATGTCCTTTCAAATTGACTTAATGTAAAACGATTCAAAGTAGAAACAGTAAGCATTTGTTTGCTTGTTTTTTTTTCCCACAGTTGTACAGTTGTGAGAGAATATTGCTTTGACTTTTTTTCAGATTTGAAAATAGTTTCGCCCGTAACACCAGAATAAGTGTTGTGTGTTCAAAATGTATATGTCTCTGGCATCTTCATCGAGCTTTATTGCGCAGATTGCGTAATCAGGGATGTTCAGTGTAATCCTGAATTAGCTCATAGTGTTTCTAATGAACGGATAGATAGACATCACGATTCTGGCCACTCAAAGTATGTAAGAATTTTGAATTAGTGTTTTATTACTATTTTAATACCTTTTTTTTTACGGTATTTTAAGCTTTTTGACATCGTGATATGAACATGAAAATTAATGAAAATAATGAAAATCCAATTTAACTATACAAATGACTTAACAAAATCGTACTGAACAAAATCACACTGACCAAAATTATATTCAAAATGTTACGTTTATAAAAAAAACATCAGATTATCTAGGCAAGAGAGGGAGGAATTTAGAAAATGATAGTCGTTCACAAAAGCTACTTCAGGAATAAGTTGGATGCATAGGTGGATAAGTGGAAACTGCTTGGAGATCTTTCTGCCTTCTAAGCAAATCCACAAGTTTATACTAAAGGTAGAAAATGTGATGTGCGATTCTTGTCCTCATCGGGAATGGATCTAGGCGAGTGGATTGTTGACTGCCTCTATTAAGTTATAGCTATCCGGAATTTTTGTTACTGTTAATAAGTGCTGTAATTTATTTAATTTTATTTTATTATTATTATTATTATTTTTTTCATACTACATACTGTAATTGTATTTATTATTATTTAGAAGCAATTTTTAAATTTTAAATAAAACTAATCTGAACATTGGTTCGATAAAAACTTTTTGTTTTACTTAAAACCCTAAACTATAGGTTTAGATTAGAATTTAAAACCCTAAGCTCTAACCTAAACTTGTAGTTTAGAGTTTATGCTCTCAACTCTATTAGAGACTGTATTTGTGTAAGAGTCACCCAAATAATCTGTAAACTTGGGATGACCCGGATTAGAGAAACAAAGCACCCTTTATCTAATTTGGATGATTCGAAAAATTTTTGTTAATTAAAAATTGCACTTTATTACTTAATCATGAGACGCGCGACTTTTAAACATTTGTACTTTCTACTCAAATATTCATACATCTCCTCCTTTCACAAAAAGAATTTTTTAACATCTCCATTATTAACATTGCCAAACTTGGCACTGAAACGCTATCATCATAATCAATATACCCATAGTCAGTAGAAGATGCATGCTAATAAACAATAGCAAGATCAAACGTAATACTATTTCGCAGGCTTGACTTCCTTTTTATACTGTATTCATCTTTCAACGGGATCTTAACAAACTTGGGTAATTTGGATTCAACGTTAACAAGATCAGAATCAGATCACGAACATATATTAAACAACACGAATTGAAAAAGGCATCATAAATTAAAGTATAATCCACCAAGTCATTTTATTAAAAAGTGCATATAAAATACAAATCGAACAACATACAAAAATACTGTATAGTCGAATCTAATCATTAAAAAAATTAATTTTACATCTACCTTTAATTTTAATTGTACCACTATCTTCTATCGTGACTTCGCTGTTATCTTCAGTTTCTATATTCATGATATTTTTCATTGAAAATCTATTACCACTCACACCTTTCCACTCAAAATCACTTGATCCTGAATCTTCTCTAGTTTGATTGCGATTTTCTAAATTGGAAATTTCAGGAACATCTTCACCATTATCAATTTCATCACCCAGAACCACATCAACAAACGAAGACGAAGGAGCAGTAGTAACGGATGTAGTAGATGTATCACTATAAATAAATTTTGATTTCGCCTTCTTTTTCTTATCATTAATATAATCATCAAGACGATTGCTGAGAACTTGAGATTTTGTGGTATTCGGATTAAGAGGAGCTTTATAAACTTTCGAACATACAGAATATTTCCTAGTACTTTCATCGATGTATGGGAAATAAGACCGAACATCGTGTTGTTTTTGTGTAGTCATCTTTAATTTTAAACAATTTAGATAAATCCAAGAATCTGTGTGAAAGTTTATAACTGGCAACAATCAAAAAATTAGAGACGAAATCAAATGGTCGGATAATGATGCTGGTTGCGTAACAGCCAGAGGCCATTCTTTTATCCAATCCGCAGGTTTAATTTTTTTGACTATCGCTATTGAATAAAAGTAAAATTTAGTTATATTGCAATCACAAGACTTCTTTCACACTTTCAATTTTTTTTGACAAACAACACTGTGTACAGTCAACTACCAATATCGGGCTTTACGGAAAGTTGGGGCAGTATTATTGCATTATTTGAGTATATAATCCGCATTTGTATTTTAATCTCAGAAACTACGTATAATGTAAAAATTACAAATTAAATTACTGAAACTTTATTGTAACACTACATAAACTTATAACTAACATTATCGTTAATTCTAGTCGTTTCATTAACGAAGTGTAAAGTACATGTAATATAGCATGAGATTAGTTAATAGATAAAATCAAACTGGTTCGTATTGCCCTTTATCTAGTGTTAGCAAAGAAAACATGCAATTTATTAATAATTAAAAACTAACGCTATGAATCTGAAGTTTGGTTCATTATTTTTAACCCAAACTTTTATCATAATTATGCTAATATAGCAATCAAAGAAAACAAATATCCACATGATATTAATATTTTTGATTAAATTTTCTCAGTACTGTAATACAATTATAAAGATACATCAAATTAAGATAGTATATGAACTTTTGAAAGAATTTCATTAAAAAGAAAGGAGCATTTACTATGCCCTAACGCGAAAAATCATTCGAACTACAGCCTTTAAAGTTTTGATCTGAATGGACGTACGTACGTAAAATATTACTATCGCTATATGATAGCAGCTAAAATGATAATACTGATCGTGTACATGCTCAATTACACGATAAGGGTTTAAGTCCGATACGGTAAAAACTTAAATATTTATCCACAAGTTTTAACTTAGGGACACTCATGTAAGAATAATCAATGATGGTATTGATAGATAATGGTGAACCAATGATATAATGTGTAATGATCGTAGTGTGAGATAATATCGATATTTAATTGAAAGTGAAATTAGCACACTTACTAAGATAAAAAAGATTGAAATAATAAAGCTAAAACATAACTTATGAACCCGAAATGTATATGATAATTTATGATAGTTTATGATAATTGATGATAATTTATCAATTAGGAACAAGACCAATATGTAAATTTAGAAAACCTTTTTGAAACGCGAATTGCATTATCTTACTGCAAGTATACATGCAAAGCATATTGTGATACAAAGAAGGCATTTACAAATTTTGTACCTAAAATTAAGCTTTCACAAAAGGTTTGCTACCGTCTAAAGTACCATTTAAATCAACAGACAAGCAAATCTGGTAATGCGTTTTAAATTAGTTCCTGCGAGAATCTTTTCTTTTTTTTGTTAAAAAATTAAATGGCACGGCTAAAATTTAAAGGTCGAAAATATAAAGTGTCAATTGTTTTTTCTCTGTTGGGATATTCAAAATTCGATTGTTTCTTTTTTAGGAGTTTGATTATCCGCGAAAATAAGAAATAAGTGATCGATCGATAAGTCAACAGTGGTGTTCAAAATTTCAGCTGTTCTCGTAAGGACAATATATTATACCAAAGTGTTCTCTAAAATTTTTTATTATTTTATGTACCATATAAATGTATAAAAACAGAACTCTCGAACACTGAACAACGGTTGAACAGATCACGGGACCTCAAATTAAACAAATGTGGTTAAAAATGGCATAGTATTGATGTATCACGTAAAATTGTTTGATGCAATTTTATATATTTAATATAAATTTAATAAACATTAGAAATCATATTAATTAATTTTATATAAAATAATTATCAATAAAATTCAATAACAATAGTAGTGTGTTAGAGAGTTTCTCGAGGATCTGCACCTGAACCTGTTAAAGGCTTGTACCAAGATACAGGATTAACTTGTAGATGAGTACCGAATATGTTCAAGATATAATAAAGTAATGGATGAACCATTACGATTGATAAGTTTCTATAAAAAGTTTAGATTGGAATTTATTTTAACCTCTTCGGAATCAGAGTATAAATGCATCCTGTAAATATTTGCCGGCTGTCTCCTTTATATGAATTCTAATAATGGTGAACGTTTAGAACGATTCGGTCGATCTAGACAAGAGGGAGAGGACTAAAAACAGAAGTCGTTCACCATAGCTATTTCGGGAATAAGCCGGATGGAATGGCCTGATGATTGTATACCGCGTCTGTATAATGTTATCGTTATAGCTAGAATCTCCTACGCATTCTAGTTTTAAACAAATGTTGTAATAGCCGAATATATTTACATATTTAGAATAACTCTTCACATGATGTTTGAACTTTCTCCAAAAATGGGGATGTTTATTTATTGTCTGATCGACCAAGGAAAACTCTTGTTTCACCAAAAAAGGTTGTAATTTACATAATTTGCATGCATAACGGACGTATAATTGTTTATAAATTAATGTAATGCATACTATTATATATAATTTGTGTTCTTTTTGAATCCTTCAAAAAGATTTTTTTTTTTTCTTACACGTATAAGCGTATATATATATATATTGTACGTTATGCTCGTACCTCTTTTTTTTTAATTTCAAAATTTTGCACTTTATTCCTTTTTTAAATTCTTTCTAATTCTAAATAAAAAACAAAATCGAAGAAAATTTCAATAATGGTTGAAGACTTAACGAAAAGTGTGTAAAACATTTAATATATTATGTAACATGTACTGTACATTGTTGATTTGTGTTGTTTGTATACCGCATTGATTTGTTTGTTCAAAGAAACATTTCTGTAACCAATACAAGAAGAATCTTTGTATCTTCGTTTACGATCGATCGGTTGACAAAGTATTCGCAAAACAAATTTCAAACCAAAATATTTTTGTTCAATATTAATTCATTTTCAAGAATAAATGAGTGTCTTTTGTCAACTGAGAATATATAAATTATCAATTCCTACCGTTTTTTTTTTTTTAAGTTCTCATACTAATTGATTATCCATTTCTTCATTTTATAAAAGATAATTTTTATATTTCCCAACGAGCTGCCAACACTATTATAGCGGATATTACTCCTTTCCGAATTTCACCCGAAGCATTAGCTGTTATAAACCATTTTCTTGATGAATTCTTATACTTACTTGTGGACACTTCTTGTTCTCTTTACCTGGAAAATATAAAATTAGCCATATTTAATGTATTACCTACTCATGTAGGTAAAAATTCAATTAAAGAAGCCGATTTTGAATTAAACACATTTTTAGAAAGTGGAAATTTTGATAAAACCTTAGAAAAAACTGTTGAATTATCTGATCCATATCCAGTACAAAGAGTTTTTGAACAATTTCGTATAAAATGTAAATATTATAGCACTTTAAGTGAACAAAATTTTTCTATTAATGATTGTGATCCCAGCACAGTGCCTGGTTTGCATAATAGTGATGGGATCTATATTTCTCCAAGTTTGGCTATTTATGTGACTGCTGTATTAGAATATGTTGGTGAACATATCTTGGTATTAGTAGCCAAAACTTTAAAACAAGGTGATGTAACTGTAGCGAAAGCCAATGAAGTTTATTTGGCATTGACTGATAGTCAAGTTTTACCTGTGTTTCAACGTACTAGTCTAAAAGAAAAGATGGAGGTATGTTTTTAAATAGATAAATGTAAATATATCGTTTTTAGCCTATTTTTTAACGTTAATTTAATCATATTACTACATTATGTATATACATTTACTTACATAGGAGACATTGCCTACACTACCAAAATCTCCGGATTCGAATATTTCATTATCACCGATATCTCCCCAGACTCCTTTATCAGCAAATGTTACAGGTAATACGTAAATTCATTCATTCACTCATCTATTTTTTTATTTAAAATATTGAGAATACTATTAACGTTAACTAATTTCATTAATTTCATAATAATTAAGATGGTAATATTATGTTTCGGTCACTAGAAGTGATTTCACCTAGTAGTCCGATTAAGGATGGTGATGTTATACCTCGATTCGCGGAAGCTATCTCACCTAGTAGTCCGGCTAAAGTTGGTAATATTACGTTTCGATCACCGGAAGCTATTTTACCTAGTATTCCAACTAAAGATGGTGATATTATATCTCAATCACCGGAAACTGTCTCACCTACTACACCTACCACACCTACTACACCCACTACTCCAACTACTCCAACTAAAAAAAGTGGTAATATTATATCTCGGTCACCAGAGGCTGTCTCATCTAGTAGTCCAAATAAACTAAGTTTTCGTAATGAGGTGGGTGGAGGACCACGAAAAGGTTCTGTTGATAGCGCTTTGTGGAATAATAGTTCTACAAAAAAATCATTTGGAAGGACAAGTTTAGAATCTAAGAATGTAGGAGTTCACTCACCGAAAAAAAAATTCAAGGAACGTGATATTAGAAGTATATCTAGTTTGGTAAGCGTTCATTAATAGTTAACATTAACAGTTAAGGTATCGTTTTTTTAAAAATAATAACATGGTATCATTTACTATATACACAAAAACTATTGATAATAGGATGACATAGACAAAGCAATAAGCTTCGAACACCTAATTTCCAACAACCAAAATTTAACATTGAAAGTCTCTTTGACTTCAAATAGGATGAAAACAATTGAGGTAGTTATTATTAAAAATTTTAACACAGTCAGACCTCTCTAAATGCATTTAAAGAACAATAAGAAAATTGCATTTATGGAGGTTAGAACTATATTTTGGCCAAAGACTGAGGTTGGCATTTAGGGAGGTCTGACTGTATATACATTCAATTCCCTGAAATCCAATCCAATGTCAATCATTTTCATCATCGACAAGAATGTCTTAACTTCTACAAAATAGGTGATTTTAACTATAAAATTACCTATTTATAGTCGATAAGATGAATGTGAGTCGATGAAATACCCAGATCTCTTATTGTATTATCCTTATATACCTTATATACCTTATATACCTTATATACTTTATATACTTAATATAATTTATATACTTTATACACTTAAAATATTTTTGAATAGACTCAAAAACAGGAGCCTCGGAAATTTGAACCCCGTGAACCAGTAGCTCGCGAACGATTAATTCCATCAACTAACTCTAAATCACAAAAGAACGAAGAGGACGATGATATTGACGAGTTTATGGGCTTAAAGAAGAAGCCTAAAGAAAGTTTGTTTGAGTTCTTGAAAAATTCTGATCCTGATAGTATTTTAAATCAACCAACGGGAAAACTTAAGAGGAAGGATTCAAAAATTGAACTTCTTCAAAAACGTTTATTTTCCAATAAATCTGGTTCATCATCTCTCGGGCGTTCTACGACTGGTCCGTCTTATCATAATGGCAGGCCTCGTCATATTCCTCTTATCCCTACCGGAAGATTGTCAACATCGGATATCAGGTTATCATCATCATATAATACTAGTACTCTTTATCACAGCAAATCTTTAGATCAATTAAGTACTCTTTATAAAAGCGGATCAATAGCAAATAATAACACTGATAACCTTTATAATAGGCAAAAACAGGGATCTGGCTCATTAGATTTCAACGATGATGATTATTCTATTATAAATTATGAAAAACCATCTAAACGATTTGATACTCAAGATTTGATTGATTTCTTAAACACATCATCACCACCAAGTGATACATTCTCGGGAAAGAAAGAAAAGATTTTTACAAAACTATTATCTAAATTAAAAATACCGACCAAAGGAAAATATAATATCAGTTTAAACCAATCTAATAGTAATTGCACGTTGATTTATAGACCTAAACATATTAAGATTCAAATTCCTGAGACATTACTTAAAGAAGGAACTCAAGAACAAGTTATTAAATCGAATGTTAAATCGAATATTAAATCGAATTCATTACCAATTAGGTCATCATCGTTGAAAGCAAGAAATGATATTAAGCATGGTGATAAAATTTTTCAAACAAATAACCTATCACATACCCATTCCCCACTGTCGAACAATGATTCAATTTCAAAATCTACTATTGTTAATGATAATAATAATGGTGATGTTAGTAAAACTAATATTATTAATAATAACAACATTAATATTATTAGTACTACTAATAATATTAGCAGCGCTAATATTATTAGTAATGCTAGTAATAATAGGCATAGTAAAGATATTAGTAATATTAATAACAAAGATGTTGATGTTGTTAATGATAAAGATATGGATAGCAAGAATAACAATAATGATGACGATGTGAAAGAATTCGAACAACCTAAACAACAAACAATTAATCATACTGATAATAATATTAATAGCATTGATGTTATTAATGATAAAGTTATTATCGTTGATGATAAAGATGATAGAGATGTGGACAGCAAGAATAACAATAATGATGACGATGAGAAAGAATCTGAACAATCTAAGCAACAAACAATTAATCATATTGTTAGTAATATTAATAACAGTGATGTCGTTGATGATAAAGATATGGATAACAAGAATAATAATAATGATGACGATACGAAAGAATCTGAACAGTCTAAGCAACAAACAATTAATCATATTGTTGATAATTTCTTACAAGATGTAATTTTCATGGGGTCTGTGTTTGAAGAATCCAACGATGAATCAGAACAAAAATTAATCCCTGAATTTACTGAATTAAATGAAGATGATATGGATGAAATATTGGTCGTAGAATGGTTATTAATTGGTTCCGGGTTAGTATTATAGATGTAAAATCGCTGGCTAAGTTTGGCTAACGGTTCGCTAGCCGATCGAAAGTCGAACTAAGCTGCTGTTACATAATTTTATGTTAGAAAAAATTTTTTTATTTAAATATATAATTTGATATAAAATATGTAATTGCAAATATTTTTGCTTAGAAAAAAAAAAGGTTTAAAAATTATTTAAAAGAAAATAAAATAAGGTTAAAAAAAAAATTTATGTCGAATAAACCTAGTCTTTAATTTTTGAAATTTAATACCATGTTTTTGACCATGAACCAGTCAGTATATACTGCACTCAAATGGGTGTTAAGTGCCTTCGAAAATATTCATTAGGGGGTACTAAAGTATAGTTGTTAGACGAAATCTGGAAGTTTCGCGCTGACGAAATGCGAAACCTAGTTTCGTCTTTCGTCAATTAAAGTCTTAAATGACGAAATCACGAAATTGATGTAAGGTGACGAAGCTGACGAAAGGTAGCGAAACTGATGAAAGATGACGAAACTGCAAAGGGTGACGAGGCTAATGAAGAAAAGTCCAAAATCAAATTTGCAAAAAGAAAATGATCAATTCAAGGGTAGCTATACTGTTTTCGAGGAATTTGGCTTAAATGAATGCTAACGCTAAGATTAGAAATATTAATTTAAATCCAAAAAGGCACAGCATTTACTGTGAAATCGGAATGAATAGCTGCTAAGTCAACGTAATAACGTTCATGAGCGTAGCGTTATATAGAACCATGGCCAGAATTAAGCATAGTGTGTGCTCAAATTTTGGAATACGCCCCTGCGCATTATTTCGCGAAAATATGGTAGTTTTATCGTTTAGCTTTGTTTATTTATTTGCCAAAACATTGCCATTTGGCAGTGTATGCATATTCGTTTTTTTTTTTTTATAATGAGAGCACTAGGGTTTCGTCAATTGGATTTAAGTTTCTTCATTTGATTTTTAGGCCGAGGTTTCGTCTTTCGTCATTTTGTGCAAAGGATTTCGTCTAACTGAAAATTTAAATTTTATTATTAAAAAGCTGTTGCTTATTTTATTATATATTAGTGCTTGGATCCGACTATTTTTTTTAGCTCAATCTGAAATCTGATGAATCCGGTGAATCGAAAATTCAAATATATAAAATCTTCAACCTTCAGAACTAGTATGTCTACATAGATATAATTTCACGTTAGAATAAGTAAAATTTAAAAAAAATGGCTCTGTAGCGTTATAGAGCATACCAAGAGAAATCCCAAAATTATATTTTTACCTGCGCAGACACACTGGTTCAAAAGTAATAGGGATTCGAAATTCATATTCAAAATTTCGAAAAGCTAAACATACATTAATTATGCCTGTTGATCATTTAATAAATTTAACAAACTTGTATTCGGTAATTATCCCTTCATTGATTTTACACTTAATCTGTTTTCATGAGAAATATTTTTTATCATCAGTTAAGAATGTCCCTCAGAACAACTTCAATTTCTGGACGTACTTTAGGATCTTTATCCCAACAACGTTGATAAAGTTTAATGCTTCTCAAAGGAATAAAAAGGTAGTCTACCACTAGAAAGCTCCCAAAGAATTACTCTGAAATAGGGTTCTTACTGACCTGTACGGGTTGCCCGACCCGACGGGTCACGGGTCAAATTTTGGTCTACCCGGGTCAAACGGGCCAGAACCCAATCTATATCAGAACTTTATGGAATTTATGCCAGCCATCTTTCGACACACTTATCCACCAATCACAATCCACCTATGTGATTTTATCCTTTTTTTACGGTAAATTATGCGTATATTATGCTTTCGCATAATCCTGAACACCCTAATCAGAATTTTGGCGGGTCAAAAATTGTTTCGACCCGGGTCAGTTACTTAGTTTTTCCGATGTGGTAAATGAAAGAGCTTAAATCACGAGCAAGGTGGAGAAATTTCTGAAATTAAATCCAAAAAGTTATGAAAGTTATTGGCCTTGGCATATATCGCTCATTGACCTGGGTTGTAATCCGGGTCAGAAAGGTTCAACCCGGGTTTGACCTGGTCGCTATTTTTCGACCCGGTAAGATCCCTACTTTGAAACTATAAAAACGAGCTATCTCCTGTGCAAATCTGTCCATTTTAATTTCGAAAAATTCTTAAAGTATTCGCGTAAATTTCCATACCGATACACAGCAAAATTGTAAAATCTGTTATTGAAGGATCTGTTAAAATAGAGATTATAATAGAGATTATTAATACTGATTTCGAAAAGATAACGTTTTTAAAAAAAAATAAAATAGTAACCCTATAAAGTTGATCGATACTTAGTCGTTTATGTTTATCAACATCAACGAGATGCTGAAGCTATTAGGGAGATGCAAATGTTTATTCGGAAAAGTAATAAAAATATTACCTCATTGATAAATGCTCTAATACACGTAAGTGTTTCATTAATAATAGCTTTCATTGGTAATAGTTTTATTGGCAATAGTTTTATTGTTAGTAATTTTGGTGATCTTCGCAATAATTCCATTCCTAATTAAGCTTTTAAGAACAATAGTAGAATTTTTCCATTTTGCGGTGGTACAGTTCTAAACGGGCTTTTACAAGCTTTCTAAAATTGTCAAATAAATTGCAACCATGTTCGTTTATAATTAGGCCTCTTTCATTAAATAATCTTTTCAAATAATTTATCGTTATTTCTGTATTTAGTGTTTAACATATTTACCAAATCAAATTTGATTAATAAAAACTCCGTGTATATGAATTAATCACGAAAATTTAACTTATACTGTATTCTAATAAAAGCTGATTTTAGTACCAGACTGGACTCGTGAATCTCATAAATCATGATTTGAATTCGAATTATTCGAGTCACAAGTTGACGACTCCAGTCACTAGTATGTAGCTTTGTGGTTTTACTATACACAATAGCTGATAATACTGTATATATATATATATTACAAAAGAATTGATGCGAGTTAGTCGTGCCGAAAAAAATTGTCGGTCTCTTGTTCTTCCTGATCGGAACTTGAAACTAAAAAAAACTGATCTCATTGATATAGCGTTTATCAAATATATTATTGTTAGTGCTGATACTGTATAAAATTAATCATATAGATATTAAGATATTAAACATGTCTATCAAAATTTTGTATACCGGTAACTAAACTTGCTATCGGACAGGTTCAAATAATAAAGCTCTCAAAATCGCTTAAGCGATTACCGTACGGCACTGACTACAATACACATTTGGGTACTAATTACGGAGGAGGGTACTATAACAGAAGGGTGCTTTACATAGTTTCAATATCAGTGTAGTAAAGATTTTTTCAATTGTGAACCCATGATTTGTACCCGGGTCATTTTTCCAGGGAGGTACTCTAACTATCCAATTTGTGTTAACATATTTAGACACTAGCAATAAAGTTTTTAGGTTAAAGCAATCGGCACGACTAATACGCATAAAGGATTTACTGATTTCTGGGTCGGAGACTAGGACCCCAACGTAAAAAAATTTTTTGTCGTCATATTAAGGTTAAGTTTGTCTATTAGATCAGGTTAGAATGAACTTTAATATTATCATACTTTATGTTAGTATGCAGAAAGCTATTTCATAGGCAAAATGACGATTTCTTGATGCTCGATGATTGACCGAATTAAAAATTCAATGAATAAAGTTTATTCCAATGCTCGAAATTTTCTATCGATACCCGAATAATTATTCACCGATTCCACTCTCGATATAAACCATAAAGTTAAGAGAACAGGTAGATACGCGTAAAGTGGGATAAATGTAATCTTATTTATTATTAACAATAATACTCACATACATATTATCGACCTACTACTTAACCCGAAGTTACTAATTCGGAATACGTAAAATAAGAGCATTAGAATAAGCTTTTTGTTATTACAATAACATGTTGAACGGTGTACACAAAGTTCTTTAGGTTTAGATCTTACATATAACGTCTCTTCTTTTTTTTTGTTGACCGTTTCCAGCATTTGAGCTTACCTATCGCTATAGTTAATATGACTAGTACTACAATAAATAGTAAAAATATTCTCTTCTAAGTGAGGTTCTTGGGGTTACTGTTTATTTTTGATTATTTTCGTACAATGAATACAGACGTGTTCTTTTGAAGCTAGAAATGGCTTTCGTAATGATTCTTTGTTAGTGAAACGTTATATTCTCAAAAAGTACTTTAAACTGTTTAAATAAGTTACCCGGGCAATTGATTTACATTAGCCAATCAGACGAATGTATGTCTATGAACTTTTTGCGGGGCATCCATAATTTACGTACTGTATTGTATAGAAATAGAGACCTTGAAAATAATACCATATAGTATTATTTTTGTATTACCCTATAACAATAAGATGCCCCTTTCACACGTTGAAATCCTGGTTGGTTGTTTCCTTTTTAAGAGTTTTATCACGATAGGGGTACGCTGTTTATATATATATATATCAGATATCTGATCAAAAAATTTTATTGTCATCACGCGACGCGTATGTAGACAACAGTCATTAGTAAAACTATAAATAATACACCTTTCTCTCTTTCAAAATTATCAATTTCGACATGCCCCAGCAACCAAATAAATATAAAGGTCGTTATTGATTGAGATGTTCTCGATTAAATAAAGAAAGGCCTTTTGCAAAGAAGAATTTGAAGCAGCAGCCATTGTAAAAATACTACCCACCGATCTCTTCCAGCAGTATTGTGACAAAATTCTCTTAGATTTGTAGGTAACATTGACATTTATTGTTGATCAAAGAAGATACTAACATTTTTTTAGTTATAATGTAATCAATATAAACCCAGTTATAGACCGTAAAATAGGTGAATGCAAGTTTATCACGTATTAAATTTCTCCACTATTTAAATACTACGAAGGAACTTTTATGTTCCTTGAATTTGATTGGATCGAAGCACACACCCACGCTGCTAAAATCACAAAATCAGATATGAACTCAGGAATAATAAAGGTGGATGCGAAAGTATCCCGTTATTTAGATGGGCTAGATATATGGCATATGGAAGTATCGGGCGTCCATCAAATTCAATGGAAACACATATATTGAGGGATTTAAAAAAAACTCTCAGAACGGATGTGTTAAATTTGGTTGCGTTGTTGCGAAACCATCTTGACTTTGGCATTCCTCCAAATCTCGGAGAGATGGAAATAATTTTGTTCGTCTAAATATCGACAGAATGGAAATAAGTCTTGCAACCAAAATTAAGCATTTTGTACCCATGTCATAGATAAGTAATACATAAAATTTTGATAATGCATTTTTGATGTCAAAAACTTTAGTGTTTTGGGCAAAGCTTTAGGGTAGAAATTGCCCAAAATGCTGACTCACTGCCTCAATTTTCTTCAGGATCTAGGATGACATTGTATTCTTAATTTGCTTCTGGATAGCCAATTCTTGTCATCCGAGCTCTTTAGTGCTACTATACTTTTTAGCTTTTATGGACAGAGTCAATATAAGGACGTTTTTAGAATGATGGCTAGGTTTCACGTGAGATTTTTCTTCATATAAAAAACTACTGTATTTCAAATTGAAAAAATATTGCAAAAAAACTCAACGAACTTCCAAAATTAAAGCTCTGTAAGTGATATTTATAATTTAATTTTTTTTATTCAATTTTTCTAAGGTATTTATCTGTTTGTATTATTTTTTTTTTATTAGGACGAAATCATGGAACAGGAAGAATTATTGGGGCAAATTAACAGAACTGTATTCAGTTCAGAAGAGATGAAATTAAAGATGTTTTAATTTTGCCAGACAAAGTTTACGAAGAAATTTATAAATTTATAAATTTTCCATATTTTATAGAAAAATTTGATTTATCTATCAATACTTTTATGCATGTTCATATTTGTAAGACCCACCTAATATCGCCACCACAATCAGTTACATATTACGGAGCTTAAATTTATTGCCGACATTAAAATTAATAATAATAATGACATTTAATTAATAATAAATATATATATATAAATAATAATAACAATTAACGTTAAAATTTTTTATTTCTTTGGATATTGTATTATATTCTGAAATGAATATACACCTCTTACAAAACTTTGTTCATCCTAACCAATTAATGAATTTCAAATTAATAATAAATCATGTTTTAAATACATAAACCGTGTAAATGAAAGCCAAAAACGGAAACATGAGGATCGAATTTTAAACGATATTCACAAGCAAAAAGAAAATGCCATAAAATTTGAAGAGCTTGAATATATAGTTTATGAAAAACTTATGGATTTTGAAGGAGAAAGCAATATGCTTATGGATCTTGAGATAGTTGTAGATATTTCCCAAACAGCTAACGAATATGGTTTAAAAAAAATTTTCCAAATCTAATATTATATTATATTAATTTCAGGTACAACGAAACTCTCAATATCCTTTGATTACAGAATCTAAAGAAATTTTATAGAAAAATATTTGAACATCAATCTTAATTGATTACATACAAGTCAACTTAACGATCGATCTGGTAAATTCAGAAAACCAGAATATAGTTAATGAGGAATTGAGTACTGACAGTAGTGAATCTGAATCAGAAATTTTAAGAAAGTACAAAAAAACTCTTCACGAAGTATAAAAGGATTTTTTTTTTTATCATTATATTTTTGTGTTTAAATAAATATATTTATTAATTTTAAGTTTTAGCCACTTGATTGCCTTGAAAAGTCCCAAACAAAAAAAATGGCTTCGAAGTATTGAATCGAACCTTAAACCTATTCAAATGATATTAAAGATTTCAAACGAGCAAAAAAGCTTCCAAAAACTTGGAGTGGACATAACAAAAACACCTTTTATTGGTAGTATTAGTTCAAATTTAAAGTTTTATATGTGTAATAAACAAATTTTAAAGCTTTCTACATGTATTAAATAAAATTTAAAGCTTTATGCGTAAAATTTGAAGCTTTATATGTGTATTTAGTGCTTGGATCTGTGGATATCCGACTATTTTTTAGCTCAATCCACTGGATTTTTATATCCAGTCATAAACTATCTGTTGAATCTGGTAAATTTATTGAAAATTTTTCCTTAAATAAATGTTCCAAAAAATGTATATTTTTTGACCGAAATATTAGCAATAGAATG